GTTATCTTGCTCTGCAATCTTCATCTTTTCTCTTCCAGTAACTTCCAATAATAATTAGTGGTTGCTTGCAGCCTTGTTGGAAGCGAAGATGTTCAATATATATATATATATATATATATATATATATATATATATATATATATATATATATATATATATATATATATATATATATATATATATATATATATATATATTCAAACACAAATACACACAAAAAAATATGTAAACACAAAAACAATATATAATAATTTCTTATTACATATACAAATAAATAATTATATTATTTTATAATTTTTTTATCCCCTTAAATGTTAAGACAAAAAAAACATTTACAAATATTAGCTGCGCAATCATTGAACTTTGTAGGAATACGTTTAGTTCTATTTGAAACAGGGCGTGTATATATCTACAAAAGAAAGCAAATAAGAAATAATTTTTTTTTAATACAGCATTTAAAAACAAAGAAATAAAAAAAATATTTATTTTATGATGACAATTTAATAAAAGCAAATAAATCAAAAAAATGAAGAGTTTTAGTTATAAATTGGACATTAAAACTAAGTAGTTAAAAAGCAAACTTTAGTTTTCAAAGACTCAAAAGCTAAACCTGATTAAGAAAAGTCATATTGAATAATTATAATACATGAAATTTTAGGGATTTGAAAAAAAAAATTTTCAAACAAAAATGTTTTAAAAATTACAAAGACAAAAATTAAAAAAACTCTTCGAAAAATTCAATTTAATTTATTAGATAAAAAATAATTTAGAAAGTATACAAAAATCAAACACAAATATAAATAAACATTTTTTGATAAAATTTTGCTTTTTATGATTAAATTCAACACTAATTAGCCAATACATCGTTTTTTCTTTGATACTATAGTTTTGAATAATTGGATAAAACCATATTTCTATTAGAAAAATTGTTTTGGAAGAAGAATTTAATTGCATACATATAGCTCTTTTATCTTTCGATATTTAAGTATTTGTTTGTTTAGTTTCTTTTGGGTTGAGGTTTTGTTATTGAACATTTTAGAACAATTTAGAACATTCTGGAATATTCTACAACATTTTATACTACATATAGCTGCTCATCTAATTTTATATTTATTACAGAAGCAACACATGACGCCATACAAGCCTATGCGATAGTAGCATTCAGAAGAACAAGGATGTCTGGACCAATAATCTAATAAAATTTGAAGACTCTCATAAAAAAAGAATAATGGTCCCTTTGGAAGAATATTCACTGGAAGAAAAGTGCAGAATGCCTCTCCAAAAGCAAATTATTGGATGCTACCATTTCCTTGGACCAAAAAATCAAAGAAAGAACAGAGCGAATAGCAGAAATTTCCAAAGAAGTCACCATATTGTGCAAAAATAAACTGAATTTTCCTAATGTATCTGATCAAGATATACAAACAAAACTTGATAAAATACTGTTAAAATAAAATAATGTTATGATGAATGTGTCAAGCAGGGAAGCTAGGAATCCCTTGATGAAATTTTTGATATTATTAAAGTGAATGGAACATGGTTATCTTCCAAGGAAAAGTGATTGTCCTATGTCCAAGTGGAATGCAAAGGAACAGTGGGATACTCTATCCACACAAAATGGCTTTAAGCTTTTTGAAAAATCACTGGAAGTGAGAGCCATCAATACTACAGATACCCAGAAGTAATCAATGTGCAGAGCTCGCAATCAAAGTAATGGAGGTAACTTATTTATCATGCAAAAATAAAGACATATGGCACCTTCGATTTCTTCTGTGCAACAAGCAAGAGAAAGGTCAACAGTCTGAGTCATTGTTGGATTGAAAATTTATTGTTTTACATGACTATGATATTCTAAATACATTTGAATACATAGTAGTACTGTCAAAATCGATTTTGCAATGGCGGGGTGAACTTTTTTGAAAAGATATGCAAATAATAATTCATCTTGTGCTTTTTAGGTAAAAGTTCATCAAACTACAGTACAGGAGCATGGGGTTGATAAAAAGTCATAAATCTAATATATATATATATATATATATATATATATATATATATATATATATATATATATATATATATATATATATATATATATATATATATATATATATATAATATTATAATCTGCATAATTTTTTTTTGAAGAAAAAAAAATTCACTGATATATGGGAGCAAGTGTGTAATCAAGGGTCAAGTTGGGTGACTTTTTTCAAAAATTAAACAAAATCAATGACTTTTCATTTACTTTCAAAAATTTTTTTATATTGGAAACTGGAGATACCAAAAAGTAACATTCTTAAAGTTCCATTATTCAACATCTCATTACATTAAATTCAAAAAGGCAAGCAGCTGTTGAAAGAGAAATAGTCAGGGTGTTAGGCAACACATAACAGCAAACTGTTTGTCAGGTTAGGCAACACATAACAGCAAACTGTTTTAGTTATTTGGTATTTGTTATGGCTCAAAAAGTTAGATTTAGAGCAAATTTTCAGTAATTCTGCTTGAGATTTTTGCCACTGCAAAATTCAATCATCAGTCGTGAATCATCAGTCAAAAGTCGAAAATCATCAGCTGTGATTTGTGTTCAAAAACTTTCATAGTTGTTTCTGAGATGTCTTTAATAATACATTCAACTGCCTGAGAACGGCATGGAATACCATTCAAAACATAAACCTAGCACTGGAAAAGTTCAAGATCATCATTAGAAACAGTTGATGGTAGTTGTGTTGCAACAGCAACAGACCAGTCGATAATCTTTATGAATGACAAAATAAAGAAGAAAAAGGAATAATAAAATTAATGACGAAGCTTCTGGATCAAGCTTCATGCTTCATTTATCAAAAAATGTGTATCTTACTACTTAATGATGTAGCGTTATTTTGTCAAAAATTTATTTTACAAAAAACTGACAAATTTTTACATTTTTATCTGTAACTCCTCCAAGAATGTTCTCAGGATGAGCAAAATAACAGTTATTTTGCAACACTGGTTAAAGAATTTTTCAATCTTTCTTCCCTAATTCATAGCACTGCTTCATAAGATAAAAGAAATTTTTTGCTTTATGAGAAAGGAAAAATGGCACTTTATGTTGAACCACAATGACGAATAAATATTTACAAAAAAATCTTGTAATTCTATGCAATGGTTTTGAAAGATTTTCCTTAAACATATACAAATGTAAAATACAACTGGCCTTTGTTAGCCACCTTGCATGGTGGAGATTTCCTGAAAAAACAGTCTGGAGGAACAATATTCGATCACAAGCAATGTATCCCTGCTGAACAGCTAAGAAAGCTTTGAGAAAGTATATGTGATCAGAGCTCAAATATTTTTTAACATCAACAATTATATACTCAACTTTACCAGATATATGTTTAAAGTTTACAATAATTAAATCTTTTAGATCAAAATCTAGTGCCATGCCTATTTTACCTGTTGAAGTAGCTGGACCTATTGAATGCTTACCATCCAGAACAGAGAAATATTTGTCAAAAGGTAATAAGCAAACCAACCACTGCAATGTTCTTCCAAGACTTCCTTATAATTTTTTTGCGTTATTCACAGCACCATGATCAAATGCAATATCGGCAGATTTACTACTTTGTGCAATATTGGCAGATTTACTACTTTAAGGCATGACAAGATTAACATATGACTACACAATATAATATTAGCAATATATTTAAAGTCAGTGTTAACACTGTGTCACAAAATGACTTTTAATTCAAACCTCTTTTCCTGAGAAAAACCTTTGGGGATATTATAGTACAAATATGTAAGAGTACATTAGAGTCGGTTTTGAAATCTTTCATGATTGTCCGTAAAAGAAAAATTGATTGGATTTTTTTGACAAGATTATTAATCAAATGAAATAAAATTTACATAGAAACAATTTTACATAGAAACCATAGTAAATTATATTATTTTTTTGACATAAGTTACTAAGATTAGCAACTTGTTTAAAATAAGAGTTCCCAGGTCCTTTATTCATTTTAAAATTGCAAGAAAGACCTGAGAACAGTTTTATTGCGCCTTTTGAGCAAAATACAAGTGCAACACTATTTAAAATGCCGAATCAAGCAAAAAATAATGATGACAACAGAAAAACTGTCTATTTGAAAAAACTGTCTGTTTGAAAAAAGTAAACAACTTTATGAACAACTGACTGATTGAAATGCTCTAAAGAAGTTTTTAGTAAAATTAACTTTGAAGATCAAAGAGTCCCAATTAGTATCTGCGAAAACTGGCCTTGAAACAGAAACAATGGTGAAGATGTTCAACTTCCCTCACTGCCTGACTACCAAAACATAAAGATTCGTCCTGCAACAAGTTAATCACCATGTTATTGCATGATTTGTTATATAGGAAAAGCAAAGTTTGGAAGCTATCAGCCAATTGGAATAACAAATACAATCAGTCAGCCAAAAGAACAGCTAGTTGTTGAGAAACCTTGTTCAACATGCTTTTCACTAATTAGAAGAGGGATTCCACATATTTGTACAAAAAAATGCTTTGACAGAACATGCTTGAAGTTGCAGCAAAAGACATAAAAGCAACAGAAAGATTAGATGCTTCTGTTATAGCTAACAAAGTTTCTTCACTCCATGGCACTGTGCGTCTTAATCAAGGAATAGAAAGGCATCTTCCAGTTATTCTAGGTGAAAAATATTTTTGTTTAGTCATATATGCCTAACAATTTGTTTTAGTAACTCTTTTTTACAAGAAAAAAACTTAATAATATGAAAAACTGTGTTATGTTGGTGTAAACTTTTTTTCCATGGCCATCAAGACAAAGAAAAAACTTTCAGCAGCTACATCCAACTTGACTGCTCAACAACTTCTACAAATTCAAAACCAGATTGGGCTTTCGAATATTTAACAAAGTAGCTCTCCAGCGAGTAGTTGAAAAAAACTTGAAGAAAAAATTTGAGTTGCTTGAAAAGCATCTCTCTATAACTAACTTAATCTAACTTGTTTGTCACCTCAGAAATTTCAGACACATTCAAACGTCTACTGGAGAATAATTCAAACGTACTGCAATACTGGTATACTGCAATACTGGTATACAGCAATACTGGTATACTGCAATACTGGTATACTGCAAAGATGTTAAAGTTTTAGTAAACACTTTAGTATAGATCAGATGTCCTCTTAAATCAAATTAAATTATCAAGGTAGGAATTGATGGAAGATGGAGGAGGGGGGGGAGGGATTTCTGAAAGTGTCTTTAGGGGTTCTTGACTTAAAACCAAATGCTTCTCCCCTAACTAAGAAATCTTTCTTCAAAGGACTTTGAAGAAAGATTTCAAATTGCTTTGGTAACAAACAAAATTTTAATTTAAAACTATTAAAATATTTTTTTTAATTTAAAGCTTTTTAATTTAAACTTTAATTTAAAATTTAACTTTTAATTTAAACTTTGCTTTTTGAAATTCTTTTGAAACATTATAAATAAAATCATAAGTGAAATAATTTATTTTGTAAAATTGTTAATTGTAACCATAAGTAGTGACAAATCAACAGAAAATTTAGAAAAGTTTACAGCATATTCAAAAGACCTAGTTTTGGAAAAAAAATTGGAAAAAATTTAGGAGATTAAAAAAAACAATTGAATATATTTAAATTATTAATCTGTAAAAAATGCTTCTCTATAAATTACTTTATAGAAATATATTATAGAAAACTTTATAGAAAAGCAGATTGTTGGACATACTACAAATTCAGAGAATTTGCAGTATGTCCAACATACTAATTATTAAATAAGTTACTAATTATTAAATAAGTTTTGCATAAGTCAAAAAATTTTGATTGATTTCATCAGAAAATCAGAAAATTTTGATGAGTCACCGAAAATTAAAGGAAAATGAACAAGAAAATTTTACAGTTACATTAATTAACTACACCCATATTAAGACAAACAAATGCATTAATATATTGACCATGGTTTTATTTAATAAATTAAATGATCCACACAGTCATATAAATAATGGGAACATTTTATACATCTAATTCCTCTATTCATATGTATACGAAAATTAGAAAGCTGTCTAGATTACTTTGCTTCTAGATAATTTTACCCTTATGTAAAAGCTATGTTTTTTAATGCTGCCCAATAGTATTTTTTAATATTGAATCCTCTAAGTAATGAATTATTAGTAGTAAATTAAAACTCAATCTGGTATAGAAGATTTTTTTCTGCAAATTAAATGGTAAACTAAAAGATACAAATTATTTTATATAAAAGAAACACAATAGTTATTGAATAACATTAGTAAGCATCTTAAATTTTTTGAAAGGAACATTAATATGCAGCCGTGGCGCTGTGGTTAGAGTTCTGGCTCAGAACCCAGAGGTCCGAGGTTCGACGCCAGCTCTAGCCCAACAAGCGATATTGGTACGGAAGGAGGCGTGAACTTCCTGTTAAATGCTCTCCCGCGGTGCTCTATGCAAGATTGCAAGGACTTCTGGGAGCACCTAAATACATACAAAAAAATATATATATATATTCTTTAAAACAAGACTAAAAAAATTCTTTTGTTAGTCTGATGTTAGATTCTGGTATGAAATATGTTTCCTTTGTTGAAGTAAAACTTTTTTTTTCAAGTTCATTAACTCAGTTTTGTGCTGCATTAATTGAAATTAAAAAAACTCAAAACTCTGCTTTATAAATATTGTGTTGATACTATTTAGAAAAAGTAGAATTATTATTAGGTGCTTTAGTGTCATAATGTATTTTCTCAGTATAGTTTGGAACTCTCTCCCATCTTCATGTTTTCCTGACTCATACAACCTTCAACTTTTCAAGTCTTCTGTCAACCGTTTCCTTGCTCTATAACTCTGTTCTTTTTTTTTCCTACTAACTCCCAACTTAATAGTGGTTGCTTGCAGCCTTGTTGGGAGTGAATGCAAATAAAAAAAAAAAAATAATAAAAAAAGTTATCAAGATCTATATCGCAGATGAAAGTATTGATAGTCAAATGATCGTCTTTTTTAAATAAAGTTTTATAGGATACTTTTCTCTACTCGTTTTTAAATCGAACTAGAAACTGGAGTTTTGAAATCAGGTGGATTAGGTTAATTTATTAGCTTTAATCCTGTTTCTACTTTTAAAAATAGATCCAGAAACTGGATCAATTTTTAAAAGTAGAAGATTTTCTTCTTATAAAAATTAATTTTTGAAAAGAAACTCTATACACATCTTTTTGAGCAACTAGGTACACAACAACTTGTTGAAATATTTTAGTTCTTGCTTAAAAATAAAAACAGTGATTAAAATTTCCAAACAGAACATACAAATATCTCAATGTTTTTACGCAAATATTTTTTTTTCTGCCTACAAGTATGCGCGCGCATCTTTTTTTAAAAACAAGAGTGTAAAAATTCGCAAGTCATCTATACGTACTGTATGCAATTATTTTATATATATTGTTTATTTTCTTTTTACATAGTTAAATAAAACTAAAGCTATTTTGAGCCAATTTAATATTTTTATTTTGTTATTTTTATTTGTTAATAAAATTACCTTATTCATTTTAGCATATAATAAGATATCAAAATGGCGTATAATAACATAGTTATTGCTAATAAATTAAAAAATGGAAGTTTGTGAATCCTGATAAATTTTGTAAAGATCTGAACCTGCCAGATGTATTGGTATGACACAATGTCAGAAATATAAACAATTTTACAAGTTGATGATAATGCTAAACAGATTAATCTCCTGATAAACTATATAAAAACTAATATTTATAAAATCATTTCAGAATGTGTTGATGTAATGACTTAAACTGTCTGGTTGCCTTATGTGCAAATAATTTATTGCTTGGTATATTTTTAGAAACACAAACAATTTTGTAATGAGCTATTGACAGTTGCAAGAGTGATACAGTTTTTATTAATATAACTTTTTAGGTTGATTGGGGGTTTTTTGTGAATTGGTTCCAAGACAAAGCTTTTTATGATTAATTTAACAAGATCAAATCACATAGCTAGGCAACTGATGAATTTTTATTCACACAGAAGGAAAGTACAGTAAATTTTCTGCTTTGTTTGTTAACATTGAGGTAAATTGACTTGGATGGAAATGGATTTAAGAATTATTTAGGAAATGCATTGTAATAATAAATATTTAGTAATATTTAGCAGCAATATGTGACATATTTTCAGTAGTTTTTGTTGTGCATTGTGCTATAAATAAACTTTAATTGGTTGCTAACAAATTCTTAATGCCAATCAGTTTATGTTGTTGTCAATCAGTTTATATTGTTGTCAATCAGTTTATACTGTTGTCAATCAGTTTATATTGTTGTCAATCAGTTTATATTGTTGTCAATCAGTTTATACTGTTGTCAATCAGTTTATACTGTTGTCAATCAGTTTTTATTGTTGTTGATCAGTTTATATTGTTACCAATCAGTTTATACTGTTGTCAATCAGTGTAGACTGTTGTCAATTACTTTATATTGTTGTATATGTATATATATATATATATATATATATGTTATATGTTGTTGTTATATGATGTCAATCAGTTTATATTGTTGTCAATCAGTTTATATTGTTGTCAATCAGTTTATACTGTTGTCAATAAGATGACACTTAAAGTTACAGTTGTACTCAATTTCAAAAATATTTTTTTTTAATTCCTTAGTAGCTTTATCTTTAAATGGTAACATTGAATTAATGAGTTGACTAGTACCTTTCAGCCAAGCTTGAGTGACTTGAGAGTAAATTGTTTCAACAAGATGTTTCCAACATTGGAAAACCGAAATGGCTGAAAGAGTATGGCTAATAGATTTAAAAGTCAAATTAGATAAAAAGTTCTTTGCAAATAGTTCTGCCTTATCCTTGGGAGAGGCAATAAAATCAGACTTTTGAAATAGAGACGGAATGTTTAACCCAAACTTTTAGAAAAGATATAAAAGAACCCATACTCTTAGAAAAGATATAAGATTTAGTAAACTGAGAATAACGGAGATTAGCATCAGACAACACCTTTTTAAAATTAATTTCTTGCAATATTAAAAAGGCGTTTGTTCCCAAGAAAAGTGTTCTTGCAAAAAGTTTGAAAAAAATGATCATGATTAGATATAGCAGCTGCACAAGAAGACTTTAGTGCCAGAAGGGTGAGAAATGTGGTGTTACAGACAGAAGGGTGAGTAATGTGGTGTTACAGCAAAGCAATTCAGTGTGATGAGCATTAAAATCACCAATAAAAACAATATCGGCAGAGATAAAAGAAAGAGCTTGGTCTGTATATGTATGAACAACAAATATATACCATTACTAAATGAATAAATTTAGGATTAAAAAAAAAAAACATTAAATAAAGAAAAATAATAACTTACAAATACTTGATATGAATAACCACTCTGATACCCTATATCAGGTGTAAACTTAAATTCTGTGGTAGTCTAAAATTAAAAAAATATAAAGAAAAACAAAATTATTTAAATTTTCAAAAAATTTAAACCTTGCAAATAAAATATTTTTTTTTGTTTTTAAAATGAAAAACTTAGATATATACAAGTTTCTGCTTCACATTTAGTACATGAAACTAAAAAAATAGAAACCACAAATGCTGTTTTCATGCAGACAGAAAAAAAGTATTCAGATATTAACTTAAAAAATACTTTAAATATACTTTAAAAAAATACAAATACTTTAAAAAGTAAATGAAAATTCTGTATATTATTTGTATAAAACTCTGATAGAAATGGCTTGTAGCATTAGTTATCATTTACATTTTTCAACAGCTTGTGGTCTAGACCACAAGCTGTTGAAAAATATAGGCGATAACTAATGCCACAAAAACAGAAGTAATTAAAATGTTTGAAAAATAGGTATTTGTCAGGAATATTAGGATGAGTATGGTCATTAAAACCATGAGGTCATTAAATGAGGCCATTAAAACCATAAGATAAATTAGGTGAACAAACCTAAAAATAATTCTACTTTATATGTAAATGGTTATTATGAACTATATTTATTATATTATGCAAAAAATTTATTATATTACACAAAAGATTCTCAGAACCAAACTGTTAACCAAAGTGAAATACAAATCTAGCAACACAAGAATAATGAGTTTAATTGTTATAAAAAAAGCCAAATGTTTATTATTTAATTTTATTTTTTTATATAGATTTTTATTTGAATTCAATGGTCTAAAAACTTAGAAACAACAGAATTTTTACATAGATACATACATAAATACATACATACATACATACATACATACATACATACATACATACATACATACATACATACATACATACATACATACATACATACATACATACATACATACATACATACATATATATATATATATATATATATATATATATATATATATATATATATATATATATATATATATATATATATACATACACATATTATGGTAGTTGAGTTTGTAGTTGCTTTGATTAACTAGTCTACAAGTTATGTTTCCTGTCTCTTATAAGATGCAAAGTTTGTTGGGTAAAACTATTTTTGTATGTCATATTTCCAGTGGCTATCTTGAATTGAAGTTGATATTTTGTCTTGTTGTTATTTTAGAATTATTTTTTGTCTTTATGTATAGTGGATGATTTGGGTTTTGTAGAACTCGTTTTAGGATTTATATAATTTATGTTTATAATTTTTATAATTTATGTTATCTTTTATAATTTATGTTATTTTTATAATTTATGTTATTTTTTGTCTTTATGTATAGTGGATAATTTGGATTTTGTAGAACTCATTTTAGGATTTTTATACATATATTGCGAATGTATCGTTATTGTATCAGTGTTTTCGATGTTATATTTTGCTTTCACGATTTCTGGACTAATACCTATAGCAGGGTTTCAATTAAGCGTATCGCAAACTGCTATAATTTTTCTCTCTTAAAAGTAATGTTTTTGTCTAAGTTTTTTATTAGGTTTCATAAAGTACGTCATGCTAAATTTATCTTTAAATAGAAGTATATAGATCATTTGCTCTCTTGTGCAGAGATTTTTATTCAACAGAAAGGACTTTCGAGCATAAATTACTTTAAATCTCTGTGTGGAAACCAATAATATTTTAAAGTTATATTTAGTTTGATTTATTGAATGGATAAAGTATATCGCAGTAAACTTACCTATAAACTAAATCAAAACAACCCGTTAATTTATTGCAGTAACTTACTTAATAGTTACTCTGTACTTAACAGTAACAACAGTTCTAATATATGTGTTACTCAACTAATAAACTTACTTTATTAGTAGACAAAATTTACTTAATATACTCAAAGACTCACAAAAGTTATCCATACCAATGTTTCTATTTATATCTTATACCTTGTTAACACATAATATAATTCTAATTCTTCTAATTAAAAGTTATTTTGACAAGAAATCTAGTATAGAATATGAAAAATACAAAACCTTTTTTTAAAATTTTCATTTTATTTAAAGCAATATCAATACTAAACATTTTCTATAAACAGGCAAGCTGTTTTTAGGATTTTTTTACAAAAGAAATCCATTTGAACAAAGAAACTTTAGCCTACTAAAATTCTCTAAAGGATCACCCATAAATTGCGCAATGCTAAATTTATTTAAAAAACGGAAGTAGGAGATCGTAAGTTCTTTTATGCAGCAATTTTCATAAAACTTAATTGGTTATTTTGATTTTTTATTTAAATTAAGGCTCTGTGAGGGTAAACTTTTGATCTTCTTTGTTTTGAAATTTAGCATTGTGTAATTTATAGACAATCCCTGGTTTAAATAATTTTAAATTAAAATAATTTAATTCAAATAGTTATAAAAAATTTTCATAATTAAAATAATAAAAAAAACTGTAAAAGTTTAAAAGAATTTTAATGCTCAATAATTATAAATTTAATTGCAGTGGCGTTCGTAATATTCAGTGACATAGTGAGGATCATTTCTGACAGTTAAAAGGTATAGTTCAATTAATTATATATAATTTGTATTAGTTCGATTTATAATAATCTTTTTCTTACATTATTTAATGCAAAACAACTTAAATGAAAAAATTGAATGAAAACATTAATTTAAAAACCATTTTGATGAAAAAATTCAGGGCTAAAATAACTAATAAAAGTTAAAATTAGTTTTTTATTTGTTTTTAAAATCCTCTGTCTTTTAATTTTTCATACTTAAATCTTAATGAAAACTGATCCAGATTAAAAAGATAAGTAATTGTAAACAGCAGAGCAATAAGAAGTAAACAACAGAATGTAAACAACAGAATGGTTGCCATGAAAGGCCAGAAGGAAAAAATAATCTGAGATGTAAAATGGAGGAGTCAGTATAAAATACTAAAATTCCACAAAAATTCTAATGAATTGCCATTCATTAGTATTTTTGTGGAATTTCAGCAGCATTGCAATAGATATAAACAATAAAAGCTATTACTAAACTGTTAAAAACAACTGTAACAATTAATTAAGAAACAAAAAACTCAGTAATAAATAAAAAACAAAAATTCTGAAATAAAAACAGATTTAGTAATATGAGAATAGTAAACCTTAAGACAATGACCTTTAATCAATGACCTTCAGACAACAACTTTTAATCAATGACCTTTAGCTAAAGACATCAGCCCAACCAACTCAAAAAAAAAAAAAAAAAAAAACCAGAAAAGAAATCCAATTGTTCATAAGGTAATGGTAAAAAGTGTGATGAAGATGTGAATCTTGAAAAGGCTTTGTCAAAAAGTATTATTTTAGAAAATTAATAAGTAAAGCTGTGCTTCAGGTTTGCAAAAACCCACAAAATTTTCATGTTTATGTATTAACTTACGCTTTGAAATTAAAAAAATATGACAACTTAATTCAGTAAGTTTCAGTAAAATTTATTTTTTACTTATAAATATGATCCAAACTTTGAACACTTAATTGACTTCTAATTTTACTGCAAAACAGAAAAAAATGGCGGAAAATGCCCTATCTAATTATACTCTTGTTGGTTGTCATTAAAAAACCATACTTTCTGAAGATCCTGTGTACAACCAATTTCAATTAATAAATTTTTTTTAATAGTTTAGAACACCCATAATAATAAGGTTAATAAAACACTCTCAATAATAAGGTTAATAAAGCACCCATAATAATATAGTTATGCATAATAAGGTTAGTTTAAAGCTAAAAAGATTTAAAATTACATAAAATTCAAATAAATATCTTTTAATGCAAAACCACAATTCAATAAATATAACCAATAGAGGTCAATTATGGGTTTTATTAATAGTTTCATTATTATTATTATTATTATTATTATTATTATTATTATTATTAATATTACTTTGTAACTTTGTAAATTTTTTTTTTTTTTTTTCGATAATTAAAACTTGAATTTTATATTTTCTTGCCAAAAGGGAATTCCCTGTAATTTAAACTTGATTTAAGTTTTTTGAAAGAAACTTTTTGTATTGACGTCAAATATAAGCACATTAATCAGACCTGATTTAAAAAATAAAAATAGTGAAAGAGCCAGAACTTTCATTCACCATAAATAAAATGGCATTGAAAATTAAAATGTTTTTTGCTAATATCTCATTCAATAATTTGTTTTGGAAAATTTAATTAACTTTTAACTTATTTTATAATGTTTATCTATGATATGAACACAATTTGTCTCAGCACTTGGGGAACCCTTTAAACATACTAAAACATATAAATCAATAATGAAAACATTGCATTGAATAAATAACTAAATTTCATACTGCATTGATACTTTTATTTTATTTGACTCAATTTAAAAATATTAATTGTAATTTTTAAAATCTCCAAGTCCAGGAATATTTCAAAATGATTCCAGGATTTCATGTTTTTAAAGTTATGTGAGATCCCAGGATTTCTGGATTCTGGGATCCTAGTTGTATTAAATAAAAAATGAAAATAAATTTTAATAATAGTCAATTTTATTCAAAAATTAAAATTGATTTCAAATTTCATTCAAACTTGATTTTGCAACAAATAAGGACTCCTTGCAAGTTTATTGGTCATGGTTTATTAATTCATCAACAGGTCAAGCATATTTGTCATATATATTTTTTAACAGGTCATTAACTTAATTTTGAGTTCTAGTAAATCAAAAATAATATTCATCAAAAATCCAAAAATGAAACAAAGTTGAGATCCAAAAATATAATACTTAAAATTCAAAGTTAAAATAGCTGTACTTAAAAGTTTGACAAGTTGTGTTTATATTTTAAATAAACCTTAGAAAATAAGTTTTGAGTTAAATAAACTTACCAAAAAAATTATTTATTATGATGTTGAAAAAAAAAACTTTTTTTTTTTTTTAATTTCAACAATTTAACTTTTTTTTATACAAAAAAGAAAATGCTTTCATTTTTTTTTTTTTTTTTTTTTTTGAAATCTGGGCAAACTTTTTAACTTATCCGAACTTTACTATTTAAAGAATTAAACTATTATTTATATTTTTAAAACTAATTAATATTAAAATTTCTTTATTTACTTAAATTTAATATTTAATTATATTTAATTAATAGAATAGAATAGTATAGAATAGAATAGTTCATTAATTTAAATATGTAATCATATGATTAAATGCCTACTCTTAAGTAGGCATCATCTCCCACTTTCAGAAAAAATCTGATCAGCGATCTATAAACAATATTTATTTTATCTAAAAATAATTAAGTATAATATATTTAATAATTTTTAGATTTTTCAACTTTTAAAAGTGTACTCTCAAGTCCATAATATAAGTAGAGGGAGTGGGGGGGGGGGGAGGCAGAAGAAAGGTGTTTATTAATTTTTAGAAAACCTTCCCACCCACCCCAGGTTTATAACACCCCCCTCCCGCACAATTAATAATTTTTACTTGTAAAAATTATTAATTGTAAAACAGAAACTAAATCTCAAGACTAAAAAATAAAATTCTCATTTTTCTCATTTAAGTATAAAACTTATATGAACATAATAAATGTTGAAGTTATGAAAAAACAGTTGTTAGAAAATTTGACCGCAAGCCACGCTAGAAATAAATAGTTTAAAAATTATTTAATTCTAGCATAGCTTGTGGTGAAATTTCCAACAACTGTTTTTTCATAATTTATTTAATATGCATAAATTTTATGCATTTTATATTAAAAATATTAGTTTAGAATTATAAATCCCCCTACCCCTTTTATTTTTTATTTAACACCCCACACTGTTGATTAGACCTGGACTAAAATTCACACCCACCCTTCTTTTATTCCCACTCGCTGTATTAAGGACTCGAAAGCAACCAATTGACATGTAACATAAATACAACCAATTGAGAAGTAACGTAAAAAAAAAATCTTTATTTGAGACATATTTTAACTGCGCTTTTTTTACGTTACATTACACCTCAATTGGTTGTATTTATGTTACGTGTCAAATGGTTACTATTGGTTACACTTTTAAAAGTTAAAAAAAAAAGCCAATTGAGACGTAATGTTGCGAATTGAAACTTTTTTTTTTTTTCGTGACAAAGTTGAGACAAAGCTATTTTACAACAAAAAATAAATATGATAATTAGCAATACGGCAATGATAAACAAACAAATCAACAAATGAAGTTTATTTAAAAATAAAAGAATGTAACCTTGTAACCAATTGAATCAATAGAACCAGGAGTGTGGAGTAAAAAAAAAATAACAACTCCGACTCCGACTCCAGTTGTTAAAATTTTTTGAGTACAACTCCGACTCCAGTTGTTTAAATTTTTTGAGCACAACTCTGACTCCGACTCCACTGCCGACTCTGACTCCAACTCCAAAGCAAAATTTTTGAAAAATTCTTTGAATTCTTTAATTAATATTACGCGATAAGTTTTAAATTTCTTTTTTGACAAATTTATGAAACATTCTTTGAGGTTTAGTATGAACATAAGGTTAATTAAATGTAAGTGACTCTGACTAAAAATGTCGCAACTCCGCAACTCCAACTTCGACTCCACAGTCCTGGATAGAATGTTAAAATGTTAATGGAGCTTGTTAATTTTTCCTTTTAATAGAAATCAGATTAAAACATTTGAAGTCAATAAAAAGGAATATTTCTGTTAAAGTTAAAGCATATTTTAAAGTTTGGGTTTGCTTTTTTTTAATTTGTTAAGTATTGCTGTTAAACTTATTGTTGTATGGGTTGTTAGAAACAAGTTACCTAATAAAATCTAAAAACCAAAAGTTGTTTTTTTTGGATTAAATAAAAAGTAGACAAATAAATTGGTCAGTGAAAACAAAAAACTGTTTTTAAATAAAAGTAGTTTTTAAAAACACCTGATCAAAATTTATAAAAACCTCCTTTTTTAACCCATTTAATGAGGTTTTTTTTAAACATTTAATAAACAAACTAGATAACTAAAAAAAAAAAAAAAAGGAAGAGAAAAAAAAAAGGAAAATCGCCAAAATAAGGCTCAGATATAGAAATATGATGACAAAGTTACAAAAAAGCTGAAAAGTTTTTTTGTTAATACCTCGATAACTAATTTGCTTTGGTAATTAATTTGGTAATTAACTTTTCTCAACACTTTGGGGTCCTGTTAAGATTTAAAAATGAAAGAGCCAAATATAAGTTTAATATAAGATTGAAACAACTTTGTGGTAACTATAGTTTTCTATGTTCAATGCTGCATGAAACACAAAGCAATAAACTAACAGTTTTCTCCATCCTGCTAACCAACTAAAGTTGTAACAAAATGTTCACAAGGCACACCAAAAGTACTACATATAATGGTTTAGAAAGCTCTTCTTTTTAAATGTTTAAACAAACAACACATAAATTTTTCATATAAATAATTCTTTTTTACATATATTATATTTAGTTATAAATAAATTTTAGAAACATTTTTACATTATCTAATAAGAAGCATCCACGATTACCATGTATAGGAAATATTTCAATCGTCAAACCCTCCACCTTGTTATTTCCAACTACAAATAAAAACTGATATAATTAATGTTAAAAAAAATAAATAAACAAAATAATAATAACGAAAACAATATATATATATATATATATATATATATATATATATATATATATATATATGTGTGTATATATATATATATATATATATATATATATATATATATATATATATATATATATATATATATATATATATATATATATATATATATATGTATGTATACATTGTATATGAAGAGCACAATGGAAAAAACAGCAGAGTCACATTTTTCACATTTTGAGAAAACCTAAATTAAAGGTTTGAAACCTTTTTATTACAAATTATGTGAGAAACTGTCAATTCTTTTAATTTTTAAGGGAAGGTCATCCATTTAAGCATCAAATTTTAACAAATAAATATTCTGAAAATCATGTTAGCTCATGGAAAATTTTGTTTTTTCAAAATGTGTTCAGATTGGACTCTGCTGTTTTTTCCGTTGATTAGGACTTTGCCTGTTTTTCTATTGTAACACATAAGAAATAACTATATAAAACCATTGAATTTTAAAATTTTTTTATTTTAAAATTCAATGGTTTCGGGCAGCCTTTCTACCGAGTTCGTCCTTACGTTAATAGTATATGTCTTAAATTAATTTATTTCTCCTTAATTCATTGTTTTATTAGTTATGCCAATATTACATGGGGCAACACGCAAACTACAAAACTTAAAAAAATACTTAGTGTTCAAAAACATGCGTGTAGAATTATATACGAAAAAAAAAAAGAAGGGAGCACACTAAACCATTAATGCGTGACATGAAAATGATGAATATTTATGAAATAAATATTTATCAACACTTAATTTTCATGTATAAGTTTACAAATAACCTAACAAAAAATCAAAATTCTTTAAATTGCCTAAGAAACTAAATAAGTATACAGAGTTTTCAATAGCATTTCGGGGACCAAAGATATGGAACTATTTTCAAAAAAAAGAAGCTAAAAAAGATAATATGGTAAAATCATTAAACTCATTTAAGTTGCAAGCAAAAAAACACATTTTTAATTCTGAGGAATTACAAAAATTCTTTTAAGTTTTATCAAAATAGTTTTACTTTTTTATTCTTTGAAATAATAATTGTACATTTATTTTTTGTAGTTATTTTATGCATTGGTTTTTATATGTTAAACCCTTGAGTATTTAAATTTGAAGTTTTACATCATACTTTTATCTGCAGTTTATTATAACTTTTTGACGACTTTTTATTTTTCTAGGGGCTCTATGAAAAGATTGTGGTGGTATTGTATCACCCATATCTTCTTTGAGTCCCGGTCTGTTTTTTTAAATTGTCTTATTTATTTATATATTTTATTACGTGAAAATCTTATGTAATTGATTTTATTAAACAGCAAAATATATTCAAAACTTAAAAAAAAAAAAAGGTTACAGCTTACTGATTGGTCCAAAGGGTCACGCAACCCTAAAGGTCATGTGACCTATATGGACCCTTTTTTAAACCCAAATAATTAAATATATGAAGATCACAATGGAAATCAAAACGGCAAAGTCACATATAATGTTATTATATGGACCCTGCCTTTTCTTTCCTTGTCACTGGTGGACACTGCTGTTTTTTCCATTGTATACCATATTTTCTTATTCCATTTTACCATAGACTATGTCGGTTTTTTCATTTGAAACTTGGCTTAAAAGAAGCATTTTTCAATGCTTTATTACCCAAGGGCCATAACTGAAAAATTATAAAAATGTGACTGCCGTTTTTTCCATTGTGGTCTTCATATATGTATGGTAAAAAGTCTCTTTTAACATCATTTTAACGACTAAGCTACAATTAAGCATTTTAATGTCATCTAAAAGTTAAATCAATTAAAATAATGCGGAAGTACATTAAGTTTTATCACTTATAAAAAAACCTCAATAAATTATGACAAGAAAGTTTTTTTAATTAATAGTTTTTTTGTTTTTTTTTAAATATATTTTCACAAGCGTGGAGTATTGCTACATCTTATAGCCTGTTTACAAGAATGTCTTGTCCACACTCCCCTAAAATGGTTTACGGGAGCAACTTACGGCTCTTGTAAAAGTATAATTTTTTCTCTCAAAAGTATAATTATCATTGTAGTTAAATTGAAAAGCACAAAATCATTTTTATAAAAAACTGTTTTTTTTTGTGAAGACTTTTGTGCTTTTTAAAAGGCACAAATGTTTCACAAAAAAAAAAAAAAAAAAAGCTAATTTAGATGCAAATGTTTTGATCAGATTTTTTGATTGGACTATTTGATAAATATAAAATTATTACACTCTAAAGTATTGCATAATAATTTTTATTTTATCTAATGATTATATATTTTATATATTAATTACTTTAATATATTAATTACTTTAATATATTTTTTAATTGTTGTAATAATTCTTAAAATGCCTGAATTCTATTACAATAATAGTTAATTCTATTACAATAACAGTTTCACCAACATAACATTTGCCACAAGAGCACTTTAATTTGTAAACACCGGGAAAGGAATTAACTGGTAGTGTAGGTTTATTTTTGGAACTTAGTAGACTTTAGAGATTTTTTGGAGACTTAAACACTGGTGTGTATCCTGCTTTTTTAAAATCTCTTCTTAACTTAGGACTGATTCCAGAGATCCAGGGTAAAGACTTTAGGAAATGTTGATTTTTTAAGAGATCTTTTTTGTTGTTGTTGTGACTTTCTTTTGTAAACTTAACTAGTTTTTCCAGACTTTTCCTCTCATAGCCGTTTTCTACAAATACATCGATAAGAAATGACAACTCATGATCAATGTTATTTATTGTGCATAAACGTAATGCTCTGTGGACAAAACCAATAAAGACACCATTGATAATTTTAGGGTCATGGCACGAGTTCGGTTTAATTTGAACGTTTGTGATTGCATTTTTGCAATGTATTTTAAAACTATATGTACCGGTTTTATTGTTGGTAACTGAAACATCAAGATAGTTTAAGGTATTGGTTAAGTCAGCAGATTCCATTGTGTATTGAATATTTTTGTGTTGTTTGGTAAGTAGATCTAAAAACTTTTGCGCGTCTTCTACCTGGAACCTTGAATGTATATTATCGACATATCTTTTAAATGATTTCACATGGATGTTATTGTTAAGCGCCAATGAAAGAGCGTTACTTTCATGATATTGTAAAAAACACTCAGCAACTACCATCATAAGTGCTAACCCAATTGGTCCGGAGTTTTCAAGCTCATGAATATCATTTTCATATAAAAAATAACAATGAGAAAGACAAACTTTTAAAAGTAGCCTGATTTCTTCAAAAGATAATTTAGATTACTCTGGTTGTTTCTTAATTTTTCAACTAGTATAATGATTGCTTCTTTAATCAGGACCGAAGGGTACAAATTAACAACATCAAAGGAGACCTGAACCTCGTTCTGATCGATTTCTCATAGTCTTGCTGTATCCACAAATTGTTGAAAATTTTTTAAACGAGTTTCATTTAAGTTTAGAGTTGGTTGTACCATATTGACTAAATATTTAGAGATGCTATATGTAGGTGAACCAATGGTGCTTACAATTAATCTCATTGGGTAACGATGTATAAAGCTTTTTCAGGCTTATGGGCTTTAATTACTCCATATAAACGTGGTGGTACGGCGTCACTCGGGTAGATATTTTTATATTCTTTTTTGGTGAAACGTCCTAGTTTATTTAACTTTCTGAGAGAGATTTGAACTTTGTGAAGAATTTGAATAGTTGGGTCGTAATTTAACTTTTTTGTATCTCCTAAGTGCTCTTTAATTTTTTCTAGAGCATTATTTCGATCAATTCGAACTAATCCAGATCCTTTGTCGAAGGGGTATATTTGAATATTCATATCTTTCCTAATTTCATAAAGAGCTCTCCTTTGTTCATTGTTAAGGTTACTTTTAACTGGTTTAGCCATTTTTAAAATTGATAAAACTTCTGTTCTTAATTTAACACTCTCAGTTGGTTTCTTACTAAATTGCAATTTTAAGGCACATGATTCTGTAACTGAAATGATATCTAAATACGGTATTGATTTTGGTGTTGGAACAAACTTAGGTCCAAGATCAAGCAAATTTTTGTGGTGTAATGGAATTTCAGAATAACCTAAATTAAGCATTACCTCTCTAATTTTCTTCTGATTCATATTTTTGTTTTTGTTGTTGATAATGCCTTCATGTTTTATACATCGTTGTAAAAATACCCACTGATTTTTTGATTTCGCAATTGTTTTCTAAGGTTTTTCAACATGTTGGTTTCTTTGTAAACGCCATTACCATATTTGGTTTCAATGTAAATTTTAAATGTTGACATTTTCAATAGATTTTATTTGTATAAATATTTTAAAATAAAACCTCTTTTTATGGATTGATTTCTATTTGCAAAAATTTTATTTATTTTTACAATATTTCGAGGGAATATGGATACCCTCGTTATCAAATATATAAAAAACCGTTATAAAAAAACAAAACCACTATATTATATAAAAACTGTTTAAATTAACGAAACAATGTTCTTTGATTTTAAAATACTTATACAAATAAAATCTATTGAAGATGTGAACATTTAAAATATATATATATATATATATATATATATATATATATATATATATATATATATATATATATATATATATATATATATATATATATATATATATATATATATATATATATATATATATTGTAATACATTTTGTTATTATTATAAGTATAACTCTCATTTTAATGGAACAAATAGTCTTAAAACTTTTACTTACAAGAAGGATTGGACCATTGCAAATTTGGATAAAGAGTTTCATGACCTTCACAGCAAATTCTAAAAGTGCTATATGTCTTGTTAAGATCAGGAGCTACTGAACCATCATTAAAGCCTGGACAAGGTACTATATAATAATTTAACAATCATTTAAAAGTTATCAATAAAATTTAAATAAAAAATAGTTAAACAAAGAAACTTAAACAGTAGAATAAAGAGACAAACAGACTGATATTTATTGTAATCTACTAAAAACAAACAAAAATAGTCTATTAACTTGAATAAGTTTTTATAAACAAATTGAATATATACAAAAAATACACTCTATAATATACTCTAGAAGATGTCTAAATTTTTTTGCTTTTTTTAATTTTTTTTCTGCTTTTGTTTATTTGTCAATAAACATGAAGTTAACTGCACACAAAATATTATTGATAATGCCATACCAAAAAACCATTCAGTATAAGTTCCAAGCCTTTTCAGGAAAGGCGTGCAGTCGCATGCCTTATATGAATATGTATAAATTTTTTATGACAACTTGGTCACAGGTTTTCACATATTTTGATAAACTAACGCGTTTAAAAGATAAAAAATCAAACTAATTTAAAGAGAAAATTAAAAATAAACTGAGAAGACAAAAAAACTGAATAATAAAATATAGGATAACCAGATATATAACCAGAGAAAATAAAAGCATAAAAAAATAGAAGAAACTTTAGACATGAGAAAGAACACTTCAAAATTTTTTACCCTGTTAACATTAGGACAATTTTGTCTATGTCTACCTAGACATATTACTAGACATACTATGTCTATTTAAACATAGTATGTCTCTCTTAATATAAAAATACCTACCTAGACATACTACTAGACATAAAGTAGGACTATGTTTTATGTCTACCTAGACATACTCTCTTACCATAAAAATAGTTAGGCTACAGTTTTTGCTCAAAAACAGGTTTTAAAATGAAAAATCGATTTTTTGGTTCTTTGATGTAAATTTTCAATTCCATGTGAATTATTAAGATCCTAATAATGAACTCTGCTAGAGTTTGTGCAATTTTTTTCAAACAAACAGTTACCTGCAGACGTTTGGGAATGTAAGTATTTGTAATCTATAAATGAGTTTGTAACAATTCCCTTGATTTTTTCAATATTCTTCTTATAGAGAGACCATAGGCATATTGTAGTCTCCTCTAATGCTTTTGTAATTGCTAAATAACAAATCTTTATGAATAAAAATTAAAGTTTTAAAAATTTATATTTGCTTATCATTATCAATAGCAAAACACCGTAATTTCCTTGTAGATTGAATTCTGCACAAAATCATTCTTGAGTGAATGTTTATAATTTACCATAAGCCGTAACCGTAACGTAACGCTAAACTAAAGGGTAGTTGCTAGAGTAAACAAAAGAGTTTTTAACAAGTTTTAAGTTTTATTATTATTTTTATCACAGCCAATTAAAAGATGATTTGAAAATATAAGAGAAAAACCAAGTGTACATTCTCACCTGAAATTTAAGGGAAGCCATAAAAAATGTCCAAACAAAACGTTGAGTATAAGAACGAGTGCTACTAAACATGATGTTAGCAAATCAAAACTTTTTGACCGTATCAAAAAGACATCAATAAGACTATATCAAAAAAATATCAAAAAATTGATTTAATAACTGTTTTAAATTTTATGAAAAGTCAAGTTTTTTCTCTGTTTATGGAAGCTGAATATTTATTTAAATGTTCAGGAATGTTTCATGGTCTAACACTGAAAGCTAGAAGACATTTAGTCATTTAATACGCAGAGAGAAATTATATAAACTATTCACAAAAATGGAAAGAATAGTAGTCTACAGGACCTAATTTGTTAACTTTGGCTAATTGATTAAATTAATTAATTCCTAGACTATCAATACGAACACAGGAAGCTATGAGTCTCGCTCAAATGACTAGTTTGAATAGAGTAATAAAAAATTGTCAAATTGCCAACCCTAATTTTAAGAGCTGTATAAATCTGTATAAAACATTATAAATCTTATTTAACTATGATTAAACAGCTGTAAAAAATGTGCATTTGACAGCAAGCAACACTAGAATTAAATTGTTTTGTGCATGTTTATGGTTCTGAGGCCGGCTGGTAGTCAGGTTTCCCGAACTCTGTGGTAGCTCTCAGAGAGGCTGATTCCATCAACAGCTGAAAAATATCAGAGTACTAACAGTGCCATGTTGCGCATGGATGGTGTCCCTATTTGTACTTATGGTGTGCATTGCCAAGGCCACATTGGAGCCCTTCGTTACGGCTTAGGGTTTCTTAGTGGAAATGAGGCAATTGCTTGAGCTATAGAACAGTGTACTGAGTACTATCAATGTTTTGAGTCAAGTTCTTTAACAAATTTAAAAATGAATTAAGTAACAAAAACTATAAAACACAAAAAACCACAGTCATCACCAAGTTCGCTAAACCTTTCATTCACCAATATTCGTGGTCTTCAAAGTAACTTTTCTTCTGTTGAGTCTTATCTCTTGCAAAGTTCACCAGACCTGCTTGCTCTTTGTGAGACTAATTTGAGTTCAGCTGTCTCATCTTGTGATCTTAGCGTTGATGGTTATTTTCCTTTAATTCGTAAAGACTCCAATAGTCACATGTTTGGCCTGGGCATTTACATTCGTAAGAATTCACCCATTTGTCGGGCAAACTAGGTTTGAATCCACAGACTACTCTTTTATGTGCTTTCGTTTAGCACCACTTCACTCTATCACCTTTCTCTTTGTTCTATATCGCTCTCCCTCATCCCAAGACTGCACTCTTCTTGATTTTATTTCTGATTATATTGACCAAGCCCTTATTCTTTATCCATCAGCCAATATTGTTGTTGTTGGTGACTTTAATGCTCATCACACTGAATGGCTTGGCTCTAGTGTCGGTGACTCTGCAGGCATTAAGGCCCACAACTTTTGTCTTTCTCAACCCCTAACTCAAATAGTCAACTTTCCAACTCGCTTTCCAGACAACCCGAATCATTTACCTTCTCTACTCGACTTATGTCTTGTTTCTGATCCTAGTCAGTGCTCAGTTTCTTCACATTCACCCTTAGGTGCGTCTGATCATGGTTTGGTCTCTCTAAAACTATTATCTCATTCTTCTTCACCATTAGAATCCCCCTATCATCGTACATCTTACAACTACCTTAAAGCTGACTGGGACTCTTTTCGTGACTTTCTTCGTGATGGCCCCTGAGTAGAAATCTTTCGTCTCCCTGTTGACAAATGTGCTTTTTACATAACTTCGTGGATTCAGACTGGCATGGAATCCTTTATTCCCTCTTGACGATTCCAGGTCAAGCCTCACTCTTCTCCATGGTTTTCTTCACATTGTGCTGCTGCAATTGCCAATCGAAACCATTACTTCCATATCTATCAGCAAAACAATTCTCCAGAAAACAGGCGTCTGTTTATTACTGCTAGGAACCATTGTAAAAAGGTTTTGTCTAACGCCAAAACCCGCTATTCTCAGATCATGAAATCTCGAATTTCATCACAAAAATTAGGCTCTAGTGACTTCTGGAGAATCTTTAATAGTATCAATAATAAGGGCAAGTCTGTAATTCCACCTCTTTTGTACGGTTCAGACTTTGTCACCTCACCTAAAGACAAAGCTGAATTGTTTGCCAAGAACTTTTTATCAATATCATCACTTGATGCCTCTAGTTGCGTTTTACCTGATATACCCGTCAAACAGGTTGATCCATTGCTCGACATTCGTATCACTCCAGCTTCTGTATCTAAAGTGATTTCCCGCTTAGACTCTTCTACAGCTTGCGGCCCGGACAACATACCTGTTATAGTCTTGCAGAAGTGTTCTCCGGAGCTGTCGTCTATCCTTTCAAAACTATTCAACAAGTGCTTATCAGAGTCTTGTTTTCCAGCCTGCTGGAAAGCAGCATCTGTTATCCCTATTTTTAAAAATTCTGGAGAGCGATCTGACTCATCTAACTACCGTCCCATTAGTCTTCTTCCTATCATAAGCAAGGTTTTTGAATCTTTAATTAACAAACACTTAATATCTCATCTCGAATCTCATAACCTACTTTCTGATCATCAGTATGGATTTCGATCTTCTCGTTCTACGGCTGATTTGCCATCAGTAATAACCGATAGGTTTTATCGCGCATTAGATAAAGGTGGAGAGGTTAAGGCCATTGCTCTTGACATTTCTAAAGCGTTTGATAAAGTTTGGCATGCTGGTCTTCTCCATAAGCTTTCTTCTTATGGTGTATCTGGAAACATCTTTAAGATCATTGAATCCTTCCTTTCCAATCGTAGTATAAAAGTTGTCCTTGATGGACAGCACTCTTCTTATTATTCTGTAACCTCAGGGGTTCCCCAAGGTTCAATCCTTGGCCCTATACTCTTTTTAATTTACATTAACGATCTTCCAGATATTCTCACATCTAAGGTGGCATTGTTCGCTGATGATACTACCATTTATTCTTGTCACGATAAGAAGCCAACTCCCTCTGATTGCTTGCAGGGGGCATCTGAGCTTAAAAAGGATCTCACTTCTGCTACAGCATGGGGCTCACAGTGGCTGGTGAACTTTATTTCAGATAAAACTCAATTTTTTTCAGCCAATCATTATCGCAATAATCTAGACTTTCCTATATATATGAACGGTAATGTACTCGATGAGTCTCCTACCCTTCGTCTTCTAGGATTAACTCTTACTTCTGATCTTTCTTGGAAACCTTATATCAAATCTGTTTCAAAATTAGCATCTGCTAAAGTTGCTTCTCTTTATCGAGCTCGTCACTTTCTTACTCTGGATTTTATTCTCTATCTCTATAAATCTCAAATCCGGCCTTGTATTGAATACTGTTGCCATATCTGGGGCGGATCTTCTAATGATGCCCTTTCTCTTTTAGACAAGGTGCAAAAACGCATTGTAAACATAGTTGGACCTGCTCTTGCAGCCAACCTTCAACCTCTGTCTCATCGTCGTAATGTTGCTTCTCTTTCTCTTTTCTACAAATACTATAATGGGCACTGGTCTAAAGAGCTAGCGTCTCTTGTGCCATCTACTAAAATTCATTCTTGTGTTACTCGTCATTCAATTAAGTCTCATCCTTTTTCTGTTACTATTCCTAAGTGCTCCAAAAACTCTTATTCGTCTAGTTTTTTTCCTTGAACATCAGTTCTTTGGAATTCTTCCATCTTCCTTCATCTTGCTTCCGCTTCCTTCATCTTGCTTTCCTGATTCATATAATTTGCAATATTTTAAGTCGTCTGTCAATCGTTATCTTGCTCTACAATCTTCATCTTTTCTCTTCCAGTAACTTCCAACACTAATAAGTGGTTGCTTGCAACCTTGTTGGAAGCGAAGATAATTAAAAAAAAAAAAAAATGTCCTGTAAAAAATATTAATTTAGATTTAAAAAGTCTTTTTAAATCTAAATTATAGACCAATGCTAAACTGAAATTAGATTTAAGAAAAATTTTCACCACCTTTTAGCTCTTTCCTCTATGTTTTAAGTATACAAGATTAAAGTGAATAAAATAAATGTCTATTAATAAAAAACTTTATTAAGGTTTTATTATTATAAAATATTCATTTATTATATTTAGTTTTGAATTAAATTAAAAAAAAAAACTTATAACTGATAATCTTTTAACGATAAGCTGTTATAATAAGTATAATTAAACGCCTAAGATTTTAATAAATACAAATTGATAAAGTATGAATTAACCAAAAAAAATACATACCAGGCTCTATTTTACGATTGAGTGTTGTCTAAATAAAAAAGTAATAAAGCTTAAGCACTAAAGAAACATTCATAACAACAAATGATAAAATAAAAATAAAAATAAATGTTTAAACCTTTAAATGCCAAGTTTAAATAAATTTAAATTGCAAATTAAAGAATTTTTTTTTTTATTGTAAATAAGAATTTATTGTAATTAAGATAAATAGTATTTATAAATCACTATACTGATATTACTTATTAGTAATATCAGTATAGTGATATTATTTTAAAAACTAAAACAGACATTTTTAGCATAGCAGCTCTCTAGACTGTAGTTTTACCTCCCTAGGATAAATATTTTTAAAATATTTTCACTAGACCTTAAGTTAATATTTTCAAAAATAGGTATTAAGCCATTCCATTTAAACAATTTCAAGAATCAGAAGCAAAAATATTTTAACAATTTAAAATAGAATGTATACCCTATGATCATTCGCTATAAGATAGTGATTATTTGCTATGATCATTCTCAATAGGTTATATTAGAGACATAGGGTTTTATTAGAGGGTAGGTATAGGAGGTTAACAGGCTGCACGGTATCTAATAAGAGCACATAAATTTCGATAGAATTAATTTATAAAAACACCAGCACGGGGCAGTAGCTCTTTTGGCTAAGAGTGATGGCTTGTGGCCTACGGTGACTAATGTGTGCATTCGATCAATTGAAATCCATTCTGTAGGTCTTCTGTCTGGCTCTGATGTGCTTGCCCATACACACTCATTTCTTGCTTGCGCAAGAAGTGAGTGTGTTTAGCTTTCTATTTACCCAATTTCAAAGTGAACAAAAATATAACAAGACCATACTAGACAACCAAACAGTACATACAAATACACTACACCATCAAACCTGTAGACATAAACAGTCTCTAAAATCAGTATATCAAATATTTGTTCTGTATTATATACTTTTGTTCATAATCTTTTTTTACTTTATCCTTGTATATTTACTCAGATTTGTGTTATTATGTGTGAATGAGACCGTTTACTTGTGAGAAGCATAACAGCGCAAAAATTTTACAAAAAAGTACGTATTAGGGTATTTTTATAACAAATGTATTCTTGGTTGAAATATACTGAACAATTCTACTAGATAAGTTTAGACCTATCACGATCTCGTTAGGTTTTTTGTTTTTTATCTAATTTTCTCAATATGATGTCGCTAAGCCAGTTTGTTGTGGTTTGCACTATACAGTCTTGACTAACGTTCCTTTGGTCGTTTTGTTAACAATGTTCTTTTTTAACGTTACATTTTTTATTGGTTATAAGCTATTAGTAAAAAATTGCATTTATTGTGTCATCTCTTTATTTTCTTATTATTCTCTGCCAACTGATTTAATATTTGTATATTTTTTTTATCTCTGGCTAATCATTGTTTAACTGCTCTGAGTCTATTTGGTGTGATAGCTATTGCTCTACATATCAGGCAAGATTTATATGATTACATACTATTGGAGTTACCACATTTTTTATCATATTTTAGACTAACTACTTTCATACTAACCACAAAACATCTTAACTTATTATCAATGTCTATGGGTGTTATTTACTTATTATATTTTTAAAACAATATTTCAGCTATAAAAGAAACAGTAAGTTACTCTTAATTATTAATTACTATTTTCTATTTGCTTTGTGTTATTTCTACACATTATAATTGTTTATTGTAATACATATGCATACGTGCATGTGTACAAGTTCTAAAAGTAAGTGCACATTATATTTATATGTGTTTATATATTTGTTTATGGTCACACGACGCGCATCCCTCACCACCCTCACGAGATCTCTAAGAATGTTGGAGCTGTATTAAAAACTGGGATAGGGATTGGGTTTTTTGGCTTTTGTAGTGTAATCCTATTATATTGCAATATTGACTAGCATGACATAGAGTGCAGGCAGTGAGATCTGTTGCAAAGACAGGCTCCTGACGAGTGGCATTAGTGCAGGTCTCGGGTTCTCCGAAATGTCATTGGTCATCGCAGTGCATTCCTGAGGAGGGGATCACAATTTATCCACTACCTAATTCTAATTGGTTATTATGGCGCCAACATTTGTTTACCTCTTACACCCATGAATTTTTGCGCTTTGTGAGCTTTTTATTATAAATTTTTTACATTAATGACATTTTTATGTTACACAGGTGATTATCAGTTCTCAATTTATTATCTAGAGTTTAGAACATTTACCACATTTATTAAACATTTCATTTTTTTTATTTATTATTATTTTTTTTTATATTGATCCACATATCATTTATTATCATTTTACTTACTATTTTGTTATTTACCTATTTAAAAAAAATTTTTTTTAAATTCTCTCATTCAAATAATTTTGCAATAGAAATTTGAAACTGAAAAATTGAAAAGAATTTTAAAATCCAATAATTATAAATTTAATTCAGCAACTTACCCATTCCATAATTTAACCAAATTGGCTGGGTAATTTTACCAAAATACCCAGTCCATAATTTAAGCATATTCTTAAGGAAATATAACTGGATTTATTAAACTAAACTTTTTTGTTTCACTTTCTATTGTAAAACAATTTGAAAGATTCATCAATTTAAAAAATTGAATGAAAACATCAATTTAAATTCTAATTTAGCCTTTTCTTGAAAAGCAGACACTACATCACAACCTAAGTAATGAGTAGAAACACTTCAAACATTTACATTTTCAGATACAAAATTAGTGTAGATAAACAGCACAAGTTAATACATTATTTTTGATAAAGTAGCAAAATAGTTCATTAAACGTTGAATGAAAAACTTAAAAATACTTAACTATGCTCAAAGATCAAGAAACAGTAATTTATAAAAACGTGACTATTATTTTTATTTTATTGACTATTATATTTATTATTTTATAAAAACGTGGTATCTAATATTTTTTTGCTCTGATCTTACGAGTTTAGTTTATAGATTATAAACTCATATGGTCTATAGGAATGTTTTTGGTCTATAGATTATAGACTCATATGGTCTATAGGGATGTTTTTGGTCTATAGATTATAGACTCGTATGGTCTATAGGAATGTTTTTGGTCTATAGATTATAGACTCATATGGTCTATAGGGATGTTTTTGGTCTATAGATTATAGACTCATATGGTCTATAGGGATGTTTTTGGTCTATAGATTATAGACTCATATGGTCTATAGGGATGTTTTTGGTCTATAGATTATAGACTCGTATGGTCTATAGGGATGTTTTTGGTCTATAGATTATAGACTCGTATGGTCTATAGGGATATTTTAGGTCTATAGATTATAGACTCGAATGTAGTATTTAATACCATCTGTAGAGGTAACAATGGAAAGTCTTCCTTATAAAATATACAAAAGAAATATTGCTAAAAATCATAAATCTTTACAATGTGATAACTGTAATTGCTGGATACATATTAAATGTAACAAAATTACAATCAAAAAATATGCTGAATTAATTTCTGATCCCCAGGCCTGGTACTGTATAGCATGTCATCCAAATTTCTAAACAACTAGGCCACCGTTACTCACCTCAATAGATAATTCCTCTGACAGTCTTAATAAATTTTTCAAAAATCTACATAAAGAAACTAATTATGCATTTGACTGTAAATGACTGTAAATGTTGATGATTTTAATGCTCTAAATCAAAACTTGAATTCTCTTACTTTTGTTCACCTCAATATTTCTTCCCTTACTCATATAGATGAGTTAAAATCTTTAATTAGTTTATTAAATTCCCCTCCTTCTGTTATTGAAATTACGGAAGCAAGATTGAAAGAAAATATTCCACCCATAAACAATATAGGCATTGAAGACTATTTAATTGAACATACAACAATAGAATCCCATTGTGGTGGAGCTCTTTTATACATAAAATCTTCAACAGTATACAAAAATAAAAAAGATCTTAACATGTACAAACCGCAGGAGCTTGAATCAGTCTTCATTGAAATTATTAACCAAAAAGGCAAAAATATAACTATTGGTTCAATTTATCGTCATCCATGTATGTTAATTAATGATTTTAACCATAACTATCTTCTTTTTTACTAGAAAATCTTACTAAAGAAAACAAAAACATCATAATTATGGGTGATTTTAACATTAGCTTAATTAATTATGATAGTTCGCCTGACGTGTCACTTTATCTTAACAACATGTGTTCAAATTCTTTATTTCCATTTATCACCTTGCCAACAAGAATAATTTCACATTTAAAAACTCTTATTGATAACATATTTATTAACTTTTACTCCAACAACATTATATCATGTAACTTAACTATTTCTATATCAGACTGTTTGGCTCAGTCCAGATCCTTAACACAAAACTCACAAAATAAAACAGAAAAAATATATAGAAGATGCTACAAAAATTTTGACAGTAAAAACTTTGTTAATGATCTTAAAAACATAAACTGGTCCCATATAATCAAAGATAATGATGATCCCAACCAATCAACTGCTATACTTTTAGATTATGTTTAGAAAATTCTAGATAAACATGCTCCACTTAAACCTCTAACTAAAAACAATTACAGTGCAAAAATAAGCCTTGGATAACCCAAGTAATACTGAAATCTATAAAAGTAAAGGATAAACTATATAGAAAATTTTTCAACTCCAGCAAAAGATAAAACATTTTATTCATTCAAAATATACAGAAAAAAACAAAAACAATTTATTTAAAGTCATTAAAAAAAGCTATTATATAACCTTTTTTAGATCAAATTTATACAACTTAAAAAACATGTGGAAAGGAATTAAGGAACTAACAAACATTAACCACTGTGTGCCTAAAAGTCATTCAATAAAACTTAACAATGCTAATAATTTAGTTGAGCTAAACTTTTTTTGATTGAACCTAAATAATGAATGCATACCAACAAATTTAAAATAATGAATGCATACCAACAAATTTAAAATTATTGTTTTAGTCAAAGCTCACCATCTCAAGCAATATAGTAGCTAATTTCTATATAAAAGGAAAAAATCATAT